AGCATGCGCCGCGCTCCGCCAATCGGCCCCGCACGTGGCGCCACAGAGCCCCGCCCACTGCGCCGGCCACGCCCCGCCCCGCCCGCCGCGCATGGGCGGGAGGGAAGGCTCCCGGGAAAATGGCGTCTGCGGCCTGCGCTGCCCGGCGCCGCTGTCAGTGAAACGAAGAGCGGAGGAGTCTGCGTGTCTCTCACACAACTGTCTCTGGGCCCGACTGCTGTGTTCTAATAACTTATTCCTCAGAGGAACCTGCACACAGTCTGGCAGATCAGACTGAGGAAACTAATTTGCCCAATAGCTCTAACATTCTCCCGGGAAAATGGCGTCTGCGGCCTGCGCTGCCCGGCGCCGCTGTCAGTGAAACGAAGAGCGGAGGAGTCTGCGTGTCTCTCACACAACTGTCTCTGGGCCCGACTGCTGTGTTCTAATAACTTATTCCTCAGAGGAACCTGCACACAGTCTGGCAGATCAGACTGAGGAAACTAATTTGCCCAATAGCTCTAACATTCTCCCATATGGCCAGTTGAGATTTTGGCAGATGGGCACGTCTGTGATATTTATTATGGGGTTCTACGGAACATGCTGCTTTTTCCCAGCTCCTGGAGTCCTGTGAGGAAGTGACAATCTTAGTTTTCAGTTACAAACAAATTGTTTTCTTAAGCAATTGTGCTTGTGGAAGCAGGCTGGAGAATGTGATGAAAAGGACGTTCCAAGAATTAGAAGCAAAGAATGTTTATTATTTTATAAACATATATATTTTATAAATTGCTTGCTAGCAATGAGGGGTTGCGTGTACACGGTAATCTGTGAGTGTGGTATTAATGAGCTGGCAGCGAAGTTAATTATCCATCTGCTAGTGTGAAGTGACAAGCCTCTGAAGTCTAATGAATCACCATTCCCAGAACAAAAAACAATTGGTGTGGAAATGGATGCTGGCCTGTCCCCCTGAGCTGCTGGTCTTGCTCCTTTTCACAAACATTCAGCTCCAAGTCCTTTGCTTCACTGCATGGCAGCGCGTGGCGGTACTGCCATGGAGGAAAGCAGGCCTCTGTGTCTTTCAGTTCTTTCTGGGCTCCTTCAGGGCTCTGCGTCCAGGTGGGACCTTCTTCCCCCTCCCTGGCTCTGGACTGGATCTCTTCCACCGCAGCTCTCCCTGCTCCTTGGTGCCAGCTTCGACCTGCGGACTCCCCAGCAGAATGTCATTGATGTAACTCAGTGTTAGGTTGCTAAAGACCATATTGAGGTGGTCAACGCCTCGGAGCTCCTGAACATGCACTTTCTGCTGCTGCTGGTTGTGCCACCGCTTGCACAACTCAGAACTGCGTGTGTTGACAGTATCATCCCCATCCCCATAAATCATGTCCACAGGGTCCTCATAAGGGAAATGCTCATCATATATGTAAGTTTCCACGGTGGGATAGCCGGTACCGTAGAGGCAATAGGTGTCCACACCAGGAGGGGGTAAGTCCTTCAACAAGTCCTTCATATCCTCCCACATGTACCAGCCATCCTCCAAGTTGACATCAGTGAAGAAGCGTTGGTAGTCCCGGTAGGTGTAATTGTAGGTGGGCGTAGAGATGAAAACGTGAGTCTCGGGCCAGGCCAGGCTTGTTGGGAACATCCAGGGGCTGGTAGTGGTCATGCGCTGCTCTTCACGCAGCTTGATGTTGGACATGAGTGGTATGCCCTGGTTATCACCTGCAAGGACATGCAGGAACTCATCAGAAACAGCAGCATGACCTCCTTAGCAAATGGTGCCCTTTGGGTTACCTAAGGGGTCATACTCGGGCCACCCTGTCCATCAGCAACTTATAGGTGTTTTCTGAGTGGGCTATGGCAGTTGCCCCAGGTCAGATCTGCCTTGTGAATCCAGCAGAAAGGAGAAGAAACACACCAAAGGGCAAGGGGGCCTTTGCTTACAGCGCTGCGCAGAACAGCCCCTTGCAGCCACTTGCCCACAGCAAGGGAACACTAGCATTTCTGCTATCTCCAGGGTGTCAGAGGGAGCATCTAGGCTCTGCAGCATATGCCCACTGAATCAGACACATCTAGGATGCAGAGGGTCATTGAACATGATGCCTACAATACTTGGCACTTGCTCAAGAGGTCTGACACCTCTAGACCACCTTGGTTTCACAACACACATCTAATTTGGTACGGTTGTAGACAAATTTTCAAATTCTTCTCATCTGCATAAAATCTATAGCTGGAGGAGGAGGTTGAGTCTAGACAAACCTGGATATATAATGCCACTGACCAAATAATCCACAGATCTTCCCTGCAACCCCTACATTTTCACACTCATCTGCAGGAATGACTGAGGTCAAGGTGTCAGCCTGTTTGAGGCAGTTTTCTGCAAGCCAAGGCATGGAATTCTGAGACCGTGCAAAAAAATCATATATTGCCTTGCAAAATATTTCTGGCCCTATGCCAAAAGAGACAAATACCAGCAGGTGATCGAGAGTGATGCAAGAAGCCAGATGTTAAAAGGAGAAATCTTGCTTTCTAGAAGCATGTGCTTTTAAATCTATCCCATGCATACTGGAGGCTTATCTTGAGACTTCTAAGTATCTGGGCTATCACATTAGGCTTTTTGGAGTGTGGCTTTTTGGACTGAAAAGAGGCTAAAGAGGAAATGAGTGAATGGAATTTTAGCCCTGAAGACAGAAGAGCCTGCGGGGGATGGACTCCAAGATATGGAGAAATACTAGGATCTTGTGCAGGATAGTGTGAGTGTCCCCTTAGACGGCCTCCACATTTCTGCTGCAAAAGGGCTATATGAGGTTGAAGAAACAGTCCAGCTAGCTCACTGCCCTGCAAGGACAGAAACAGAGCAGATGCCTGGGGAAGGCAGTGAGAAGTGAGCCGGGCCCAGGCTCTTACCCTGACCCAAGAATTTGTGACTGAGGCACTTTCTTGCCTAGGAAAGATGTTTCTGATTTGAAGGTGTGATCCTGCACCAGAAGATATTGAGCTATCTGCCTGTCATCATGGTCCAGAGTGTGCTGTAGGCTACAGTGCCACAGGAAATGTGTGCGGTGAGAGCTGATGCAGAGAAAGGGGGGCAGCCAAACTACAGTTATTTTAACAGTAATTTTTCTGCAACCTCCATTTCTGTATCAGCTTGGCCAAAGACACACAAGCCCATCAAATACAATCATGGAGTTCAAAAAAAGTTCCAGGTAAAAACCTGTGGTCACTTTCCTGCTCCTAGGGTTGTGACAGGAATCTTAATGGTCCTTTCTTCACTGCTGGCTTTCCATGGTGCAAAGGAATGCACACACTTGACTAAAGCCCAGAGCATGACTGCTTCCTCCATAGACCCCTTGGCAGTATTGTCCCCTAGCTCTTCTGCTAGTGGTCTGTCCCTGCTTCACTGATCTTGGTCCAGGACCCCATTTCTGCAGGAGAGAAAAAAATCCCACGGAGGTCATTGGACAAAGCAAATCACTCACCAGAGGCCAGGACACGCAAGGGCTTGACAGATCCTCCCCAAGGGGCACCCAGGGAGATAAAACCGCCAATGTACTGATCTTTCCAGACTTGAGTCTGCTGCATCAGGAAGTAGAGGACGTGCAGGTTGCCCATGCTGTGTGCGATGAGGAAGACACGTCGCTGGTATGCATCATGCATTTCTTCTATCAGCGCCTTGAGGTTCTGGAAGAACTCAGGTTGCTCATCTGTGGGCAAGAGGGGCACCAGCTCTTGGCCAGTTCACTCATAGCCATAGGGCTCATGGACTGATCCTAGGAGCCCAAACTAGAGAGAAACACGAATATAGATGCCAGGAGATGTGCCACTATGCCTATTCACATGAAAGCATTACTAATGGTTTAGGCCGCAGATATCTACCCTTTTCCAGGCAATCTCTATATCACCCCACTGTTCTTAATTAATATATTGCCCTGACACCAGACCCAAGTATCAGGCTCACGGAGTGGCCCTCCTGCTTCCCTCCACCTGGCCCAACCCTACACTTACGAGGCCCGACTCTCCAGTCATAGGGAGCTGCCCGGACTGTCTGGTCCCTCACGTAGCCATTGTTCACCAGGTTCTGCACCAGTGTGTGCAGGTAACCTAAGGACAGAGAACAAATTTGAATTAGATCTGTGGTCTTCACCTGTAGTGCTTTTCCCACTCTGATGCTGTTGCAGTAAGAATTCCCTCTGGTAAGCAGCATAGCTTGGTCATTCCTTCTGGAGACAGCAACATGGCTGTGCCATGGGGTCAAGGACAGGGTGAGTGCCTGCAAGCACCAGGAGGTCTTGGGATCAGAAGGGAGTGACTCCCTCATTCCCAGGTGGACTGAGGTCTGGCCAGCTCTGCAGAACCAGGCTGCGATGAACCTTGTAGGCACAGGGAGACGTGTTCCGCTGCAGGGCTAAGAGCACAGAGCGCATTGTAGCCCTGAACACCCTGCCGGCTATCTCACCTGCCAGTTTGCTCTGATCCAGATATTCCACAGAATAGGTCTTGCCAAAGCCAGGCACACGGATGTGCACCCCAGGGGCATTGGACATTTTTCGAGAGGTTCGGTTATACACCACCCTGCAGGGAAAGGACAGAAAGTGACAGGAAGGACAACTCCACAGGGGACAGGAGGATATTACTGAATGGTGGCTGGGATGCAGGTGGCTGCTCTACAGTCTCATGTGGAGAGCACTGACACGGATTGCAGATATCTGCTGGGCTACTGTCCCCACGTTTTCCCTTTGGGCTCCCTGTATGGGGATCTTCATATGAGATCGAATCTGGGTGAATCTCTTGACTGAAGAGATCGAATTCAAAGTGCAGCTCAGCAGACCTAGGCTGAGATTAGCCCATAGGGCAGCCGTGTTTGTATGTGGGGACGTGGATGGACCCCCAACTCGTAAGGCAAGACGGCTGAGGACTGAATGTGACCTGTGTTGTGCAGTGCTCAGACTGTGGCTTCCCAGGGCAGAGGGCATGTGGCTCTGATGATATCCTTGCTAGGCCATCCCATCAGGTATGTTTCCAAGGCACAGGCTTGTCCTTCTAGCATGTCTGCCTGCTCCTGCAGCATTTCCCAGCAAGGATCCCAAGTAACTTCTGGGAATAGCACCTTTTTCCTTTTTTTTTTTTTTTTTTTTCCTGGATGTCACAAATGCTTGTCCCTTACAGAACTGGATGCTGTGCTGCTTGTTAGGTCTTGTCCACAACATGGGGAGGGTACCCGGAGGTGTGCTCTGCTCTGGACACCCCTGGAGCCATCTGTAACCCTTAGCAAGGTTTTTGCAAACAGACACACAGAGAATTTGTCTGTGCAGCTGTTGGGAAGGGGTGCCACAGGAAGGGCTCCTTGGGGAGTGGCTTGTCTCAGAGCTGGGGGCTCTTCTGCTCCTTGGGTCAGTATCAGGGCACAAGAAAAATCATGCCTGTCCTGGGGAAATGCATGATTTTTCCCTGACCAGCTATGAACAGTCTCTACCATGTTACATTTCTGTCATTCAGACCCTCTTTCCCAATGATTAGACTCTTCTAGAGCCTCTTTGTCTCATTCCAGGCTCAAGCACATGAATTGTGATCTCTGAGTGCCAGCCACTGGGGGTCAGGACAGGAAACTTTGATGGAGTGATGAGCTGTGGTGTCTCTCTGCTGTCCTAGACAGGATGGCAGCATCTCTAACATGTGCTAAGGATAGTCTGGATGGCACAAGCACATGGCAGAGAAATAGCAATGGGGCATTTGGAAAATGTTTGTCCATGAGAGCTGGAGCCAGGTAGCTGTGTTAGCACACATGGGGTGTTCAGACAGGCAGATACTCTGGTGGTTTGCTGTGCGAGCTGGGTCAGGGCCGCATGGGGAGGAGAGGGGAGGGAGATCCCTGGTAGGTCATTTCCCTGGGGAGCTCCCCATGTAGGGGTGAATGGTACCTGGTGTTATCGATCCAGCAGTCTACTCCCACTGGCAGGAACGTATTGAGGTTGAGCCAGATGGTGAAATAGTCCTCAGTTTTCCGGTAGCACATCCAGTTCACCACATCTGGCTTGTCCAGCTTTGCTTCCAGCTGGTTCCCAAGGCACCCAGGCACTGGAAGCACCAGAGAGAGGGACAAAGGTAGTTAGTCCTCATCTCACTGGCTCTCCAGAACACCTTGGACAGGCAGTGGTCAGGGCACTCAGCACTTCTCACAGTCCCACTAGCCAGGGCTGCCTTGAGGAACTTGCTGTTTGATGCAACTGGAAAAGCATTCATAGAGAACAGCCCCTGCCCACCCCCTGACCTTGCAATGCATAGTTTGTGTGAGGGTTGCTCAGTGCTGAGATGCAGGGTGAGCATGGAAGCAGCAGCAGCATGCTAAAAACACATTCTCAGGGATCCACTTAACTGCATTTCCCCAGCACTCTACAGACTGGACCATCAGGGAATGACCCCCAGAACAGGCACCCTCACCGAATGGCCCAATGCCTGGATGGGCTTCCATGCTCTTCCCCTCCCTGCAGCCTGAGGGAAGGAGTCAGTGCTGCTCGGACTCCATCCTACTCCATCACCTGGCAGTGATTGCACTGCACCAACTGTCACCCCAGGCATCTTGCTCTGCAGTAGCAGAGCAGCTTGGGGCTGCATAGAGAAGGAAGTGTCTGAGGAGAAAGTTGCCCCAGCGTTGGTGCCCAGGGCCCACACACTGTTTTTCTGAACTTTAAACCCTCCACAGAGGGTGAACAAGGTCTCCCTGAAATGGTTCAGCTCTGAGCAGGACCCTACCCTGGGAGAATTCAGTGCAAATATCACTTACAGTAAACACAAAGCTGTTTTAAACAAGTTCACAGCCTGCCACATGTGACTCACTTTCTCTTAACAGATGTAGCAACAGGACACCCTGTTTAGCTCCACAGTCTCCAGTTCTTGTCAAGGTTGGGGGCACTGCTGAGGAATGACATATGTCTTAAAAGCTGTCACAAGCACAGTCCTCCTCTATGTGGCACACCACATGACCAGAGAAGGGCAGTGCATCAGCAGCGTGTATCAGAGCTTTGTTGCAGTGCCCCAGGCTTAGCAGCACTGAGAGAACATGGAGCTGGGAGAGCTCCATGGAGCTGGGAGAGCTGGAACACCTCGCTTGGCCTTGGGAGATACGGTCCTTCACATCACTTCTCCCAAGGACAAAACAAACCATTCTGTGTCTGTGACAACAGGATTGTGGCCAAATGTCAAGATGCCTGCTCTGAACTGGCCTGCAGCCTGGAGAAGGGCTGTGCTGTGACTGTGAGACCCAGTAAGTGTGGCTGCATATAAACCATGCTCCCCGGAATTAGGGATTGAGCTGCAGGTGAGGCTGTCTTTGACCTGACAAGGATGTGCCCCATCTGTGAGATGGATATTTCCCCCAGCCCGTCAGGTGTCACTGTGCCTTGGTGCCTATGGGAGCGAGTTTTCAGGGGAGCCAGGGTGATGCCAGGCACAAACGAGGATGGAGGCATCCTCATGGATGCTCCAGCCCCACCTCGCCTATTGTGACCACAGCTAAAGGATGTAGAGCATAGCCACAGCCTCTAAAAGTCTTGTCCCATGTGAGAGGGGAATGGGATATTGTGGTTGCCTTGTTCAGCTGTTGCCTGTTATCTATGACAGCTTCCCCAGGGAAGGGCATAATCCTACCTTCAGATCCCCTGGCGGGGGGTAAGGACATCATTCCTCAAAGCAACTAAGATGGGTCAGAATATCCTCCCCAGTGCCCCAGTGGACCAGGCACAGGCAGTAGGCGATGTGGCTGCTGGACCTGCCCTGAGAGCAACAGAAGAGCCCAGAGGAGCTTCCGGCAGCCATCGCGAGTCCTGCAAGGTCACAGCAGAGGACTAATGGCTTTCAGAGGTGTCAGGGCCTATTAGAAGCACCCCTGGCATAGGGGCAGACATCCTGTTGCCTTGCCAGACTCCTGCGGCTGCAGTCAGTTTCCAGTGTGTGGGCACCAGGCCCTGTGGGCACCGGGCCCCCACACTCCCAGTGTGCATAGCCCTGAGCTCTGCCTCACCTTAAAAAGGACATTAGGTAATTATTAAGGGAGTTCCTGTTGAAGCAAAGGGGTTATCATCGGTCCCAAGGGCACTGGGGGTTTACAGGATGCCTGGCCGAGGGGGATGGGCTACACGCGGACGTTGACAGGCGGACAGGCTGTCTAGTCCGATCCTGGCTCACCACATACGCTTGTCGTATGCAGCACCCGCAGTGGGAGCACCTAAGTACCCCAGCGTGGGGCATGAGGCTGAACCAGCAGCCCAGTACCATTGAGCACCCCCTCCGCTGGGATAGGAACTCCAGGTGTTTGGAGCTACAGGGACCTGCCCTGTGGTGTGGGAGCTGGACCTCAGACTCCTGTGGGGCTAGGCCAAGGCAGAGGAGCTGCCCGGGGCCCAGAAGTGCTGCTGGTGGGTGGCACTGTGGGGGAAGGCCCATGCTGCTTCATCTTGCAGAGCCGTGGAGAAACCTTTATAGACCATCCGGAGAAGAGGCACAAGGTTACTTGCACCACATCATTCCCCACTCTGCACTAGGCCTCCTTTGTCCTCCCGGTCACTGGCGTGGCTAAGCAGTGCCTTTGCCGCGCCACTCAGGCTCCTGGCACAAATACCAAGCACCAGGCTGTGCGCTCGGTATCTTATTAAGTGGTATTATTCTACTAAAAATAATACCACGGCCTCTGACCAGTGAGTAACAGAGGCTGGCACGCCATGGCTGACCCATGCCTGGCATGTGCCAGGCTGTGGTGCTCGGTGTAGGCTGCTCCCCTGCTCCAAAGCAGGGCTCTGCCCATGGGGAAGTGAGTCCAGGGCTATCAGCCAGAAAGTTCTGCTTTCCTCTTCTCTTTTTTAAAAGGGAAATTCAGTTGTTTGGATTCAAGAAAAAGAAAAAGCAGAAGAAACCTCTGTTCAGAATAGATTTCATGACAAAACCTCATGTCAAGCCCTCAGTGATGGCACAGGGAACAAAGGAAGGCAGATCTCAGCTGTGCGGCAACTACCAGCTATTTGCAAACAGTCCTGGCTGGAGTTCAGGACAGAGATACCAGCTTCGTGGCTGATGATCACATCTGCATCTCACCAAGGCAATCCCCTAAGCCTCTTCTTTCGCCTATCTGAGTATCTCAGCTAGCAGGAGAAGCTGCCTGCTAGTTTGTGCTCCCTAATGCTATTCCCCATGCAGGGAGGACATTTGATCTAATGTGAGATGGATGCCCTTCAGCAGGGCAGGATGAATCATGCAGCAACAAAAAAAACATGGGGGCTTGGGACAGACTTGGGGAGCAGCAAGGGGTAAGGGGTAGAAGCTCACTTGAATGGCAGCAGCAAAAGCAGGAAACCACATCACTAGGGTCTCCTTTAGCCCCTGTCCCTCTACCAGCACGGTCGCTTCCCCCCACCCCCAGCTGCAATGGAGCAAGTCGGAGAGCTCTGACATTCAGGAGCCCCCCTTGCTTTCTGGGGCACCCAGCTTACCCGCCACGCTCTAGGGAGCTGTGGCCAGGTATGGCAGACCCTGTGATCCCAACATTGTGGATGGGTGGGGGACTGGGAGCTCTGTGCTACGGCACTGAGGTGGCTCCTGCAGCACAGTAAGACAGCCAGAGACTGCAAAGTGGGTTGCAGCCTCTCACTGCAGCCAACAGACACACTAAGCAGTTCCCGATGCTGCCGGGAGCAATGTGCCCAGGCCTTGCCTCCAGCCAGCGATGGGGCTGTGCAGAACCCCAGCAAGCAGAGCAAGCTGCGCCCTTGCTTGGTGCCAGAGCTGGCAGGTTATGGGCCAGCATGCGTGACCTTACCGAGTACCACGGGTGGTGTGCTGTTGGTCGGGGGCGCTTCTGGGGTAGAGGTGGGTGGAAAGAGCACGTTGAAGAGCCAGAACTGAGACGTGGGCTGCAGCAGCAGCAACAGAGTCAGCAGCGCAGCCCCAAAGCCTGTACTCCCCATGGCAAACTTGGACAGGATCCTTTCGCTGTCCGCACGCAAACAGCCTTTTATATTTTACGCAGGTCCGGCCAGAGGCACACAGATTGCAGGGGAGGGGAGAGCTGCAAGGGGCTGGACATGATGGGGAGGAGGAACAGGGAGGGTCAAAGGACTGGCCTTGCAGACATGCCATTCCTAGAGCACACAACCCTGCTGCGGCTGTGGCCACATGGGGCAGCCAGCCAGAGCAGGCAGGCAAATTTTGCACCCAGGGGTAGCCTTGGGTGAACTTCAGCTCCACGCTGGCGCACTTCCCTTTGCACAGTGTGTTGAGGGGTGAAAGCTTCCTGCATTTGCAAGCACAGCACCTTTCCACACCTTTGGGGGTGGGGGTGGACAAAGAAGCTAAGAGACCCTGGCACTGCACACATGACCAGGTGGCCCTCAAGCCTCAGAGGTTTCCATCACAGCTGGGCCAAATCAGGTCAGCGCCTCACACAACGCAGCAGCGCATGGCACCGCTGCTCCAGCACACCCGCAGGCGCTGCTGCTTCTGCAGCCCCGCAGCGGCTGGCGGCCCCCCCTCGGGCGCCCGCGCGC